TATATGTGCCTGTGCTTTGTGCTGCAGCACATCACAAACACATTGTAGAAAACAAGACAAGCAGGGAGCAGGGTGCCATCCTGATATCCCATAACAGTGCCTAACCACAGAAGCCAAATTTTTCTTTGCTAAATGCCTCTCCCCTTCCTCTGATTGCCATGTGCTTTGCCTTCGTTATCCCTAAGCTCCTGCGTCCTTCTTATATGTGCCTGTGCTTTGTGCTGCAGCACATCACAAACACATTGTAGAAAACAAGACAAGCAGGGAGCAGGGTGCCATCCTGATATCCCATAACAGTGCCTAACCACAGAAGCCAAATTTTTCTTTGCTAAATGCCTCTCCCCTTCCTCTGATTGCCATGTGCTTTGCCTTCGTTATCCCTAAGCTCCTGCGTCCTTCTTATTTCCCTAAAATTTGGCCATGTGATGCAAAATCTCCATATGGCTAGGGCACATCTATGTCCTGCAGATCCCCCACAGCCCCTATGCAGCATCGGGCTGAGATGTGGACCCCTGTGACAAGACATCTGGAGAGCAGTGTCATGTCCCCTGCCTGCAGCAGGTAGCAGGTGAAATTTGGGAAGGATTTTTTCCAACTGCTCTGTGAAAGGCTGGGGATGGTTTTTCTCCCATCCTCTGGCATCGCCAGGATGCTCTGCTCTGATATCAGCATCTGCAGGGCTGGGAGGACCAGCAGCACTTTTGTTCCCATGGAAACTCAGAGCGGGGATGTCTGAGGCATTCGTTTCTCTTCTGCTGCAGGTTAGAGATGGACTGGGTGGTGAGATGAGAGGGTTGGAGGGGCAGAAGGGCCAGTGCTCCACAGGGAGGAATGAGACCTCTGAACATTATCGCGTGACGAAGGGCGAGCAATGGCACATTTTAGGGGCCCCAGTGACCTTGCCTGCATTGTGAATGTCCACAGAGCATCCTCCTGCGCATAGGATGCTCAGCACGAAGGCAGGGATGGAAACGACTTCCCTCTGCAGGGCAGGAAACAGTTAATGGCATGCATCCTGGTCTTAATTAATTGCAGCCTGGTTTTGCTATTGCTTAGAGGGCTCCCAGCAGCTCTCCCAGCTCCCAATCCTGCTGCCAGGGCTTGACATTTTCGGGGGTGTGAACACGAGCCTTCAACTCGTCTCTGCGCACCGTGCTGGGAAGGAAAGGTCAGAGCTTGCAGTGGGCAGCTTAAACCCCTGGCTCCATTCCCAGCCAGCTTCCTCTGGCTGCGAGGAGAGCTTGAGCAGGAGAAGGAGCAGCTTTTGAATGGAAAAGGTCTGGTGGGGGCTTCTGTGACCCGCTAGCTTTTAAATATCTTAATCCTAGCTTGGTAAATAGCTCCTGGAGCTGCCTGCCTCCCATTTTTGCTGATGGTCTCATAGAGAATCAAAAATTAGGTGGTGATGGAGGCCACATTCTTGCGCACCATCTAGAGAAAGCATCTTTCCATCCGGTCACTGCAATCCACCACTTTTTGGCACCTCTGTCCCTGGCTGGTGTAGTGCTAGAAAGAGAGGGAGGCTGTGGTTTTACTGGGACCTTCCCACAGCCCCGAGGTCCGGAATAGAAACCACCAGAGCTCGGTGTCTCTGCTGGACACAAAGGGGAACATCCATGGAGAATGTGGTACTGGCGATGCTGGAGGGGAAATTCATGTCTCCTGAAAGTGGAGAAACAGTCTTGTAAAAAAAAAAAGAGATAAAAATTCACTTTTCCCCATCCCCTGCGCCTCTCTCCTCTTGTTACTAAGCAACTGGTCCTTGATCTTTCTGTCTGTCTTCTTTCCTTTGGTTCCCAAGCGAAGTCATTAAAATGTCTGAAGGCATGAAACTCATATTTCACCTCCTGCCTGTCTGGGGTAGGAGCCCCTGGGGCCAGGGTCCCTTGGGGACATCCTGCAGCGCTGGGGGAGGGCTCTGTGAAAGGGACCCGCGTGTTTGCATGATTGCATCTCATGCGGGGATGGGGCAGGTCCATGCCATCGGCCGCAGGTGGCTCCAGCCCTAATGTCTGCTCTCAGCCCTTCGCAGCCAGCTCACACACCTCTGCCACGAGGATCCGCGGCGCAGGTGCCCGGCGGCCGTCCCTGCTCCACCGGAGCTGTGTGTCCTTCTGCCACGATGCTGACTCCTCACCGCTGCCAGATGGGCTGCAGCAAGTGGGAAGAGGCTTGGGACCGCTGGATGCCAACACCAGCCTGCGGTCTTCATCGGGCAGCCGGAGCCCTGGGGATCTGGGTAAATGTGAGGGGCATGGCCTCACCTGCTCATGCCAGGGTTTTGGTGGTGTTGTGTTGCATTCTGTGCCACTGTGTCAAAATTAGGAAGTCTTAATTATGGTTTCTTAGTGGCAGTGGGGAATTCAGCTCCCACAGATGTGATTAATTATCTGCCTCTCCCCTCGCTGTAGAGTCTGCCCAGCATCCTTCCTTCACGTTCGAAACAGAGACCTCCTCCGACTGGGAGCCCCAGGACTTCGACTTCGGCACTGCCCGCAGCTCCCCGCACTCCCCCAGGACCCTCTGCAAGGCAGTGGTGAAGGGACTAAGAGGCAACGAGCCCATGCAGTGGGAAGTTGCCTTCGACATCCGCCCTCTCTTCCAAGAGCAGGAGAGCCAAGCGGACGGTGACGCAGACCTGTGGAGTGAGACCTTCCACCATCTGGCAGCCAAGTCGGTCATCCGGGACTTCGAGCAGCTTGCCGAGAAGGAGTGTGAAATCGAGCACGGTAACGTGTAGCCCCTGGCCAGCCTGCGAGCTGGCTGTGGGCAGACCCTGCAGCAGCTTCGGCAGCCTCTCAAGTTAGTCCAAGGGCAAGCAGTGGTGAAATATTAGGAAATATCTCACATAGTTCCCCAAAGACAGCCCCTTCCAGCTGCCTGGCACTTTTCTCCTGCTTCTGCAGCCTTGCAGCACATTAATGTGCTTGAGCTCATGCTCCTTCATGCTCCTCTGCTTCACACATTGGGTGAGAGTGATTATTTTTAAGGAGTTAGGTACTGGGAGCTGGCATCAAACACAGAGGGTCCAATGGCAGCTGCTCATCACTGCTCTGGGCTGCACGTGTCCCTGGTCTGTCAAACTTCTCCATAAGTTGCATCTATGCATGTAAAATAAGAGCAGGAGAAGCAGTAGGCAGAGTTTAAAGGCAGAGTTTAGAGGGATGCAGTCCCTGCTGGGTGTGGAGGTGAGTCTGGGAGCTGGGTCCAAGGGTTGGATGGAGCCCATGGGGCATGTGGACTCTAACCCCGGTGTCTCTCACGTGACAGGGTCCGGGCGGCGATACCAGGTCAACGCTGTCCACACCAGCAAGGCCTGCAACGTCATCAGCAAGTACACGGCGTTCATGCCGGTGGACCTGAGCACCAACACCTACCTGCCCACCATCGTGGAGTATACCCACACGGGTACTGTGGGGCTGATGGGGTGGTGAAACGTCCTGGGAGGGAAGGTGTCACCCAAAAAACCTCACTCAGAGCAAGCCCTGTGAAGCCACAGTTCAGCACCAGACCTTTATACCCAACGGCATGCCTGCTGCTCTTGGTGGCCAGAACCTCCTCCCCACAGCCAGGGAAAAGGTTTGCTCTTAGGTTTGGATGCCCAGAGATGACCCTGCTCATCAGTCTGTGGGTTTTGTTGCCATTTGTGTGCCAATTCCTCTCTAACGCTGGTGATTCCCTTCTCTTGTGCCAAGGGGCAGCATCCAAGCAAGGCAGCCAGAGGAGCCTGAGCTTGGGAAACAGGAGGCATCGTGGCTTTTCCCCTGGACGTCCCCACTCAGCTTGCAGCCAGAATGGAGACGATGGATTTTATGGCACAAGTGAGATTCTCTGGGGGTTTGTCTCCTTCCTGGTGTTACAGATCTGAGCGGTTCAAAAAAAAGAACATTTTCTCCGGTCTTTTTTTCTTCTGCTTTCCTCTTTGAATATGGTGCTCCCCAGACATGTGTCTGGCTGGAGTTCATCTTCTTAAAAAAGGTGCAATTTTCCCTGAAACTCCCAAATTGCAGGCAGTGGCTGTTGGCAATGCTTGGAAGTTAATTGGCAGCCGTAATGCAGGTAACAGGAGAGATGAAACCGGGTGTAATTAGAGGCAAGGGGATGTGAGACACTTGCTTGTCACCAAATCCTCTGCTAATGAAGATAAGTTGGGTTGGACCTTGTCTGCCATTGTCAGATCTGCAGCTGAATTAAAATCGCCCCTGATCAGTCTCATTAACCTGATGACGCTACAGAGAGGGAGAGCAGCCATGCCATGGTGGCGATTTCAGCTGGGCAGCGATGCTGATGGGGTTCCTCCATTGCAGATGCAGAGGAGAGCAGCCTGTCACCCTCCAGCACCCCGTCCTCCTCTGGCTGGGAGCGCTGCGGGCTCCCCGAAGGTAGGGACA